TAATAATAATAATAATAATAATAATAATAATAATAATAATAATAATAATAATAATAATATACTTTGTTGAAGACTACCTTGTAGCACTAAAAGCAGAAAGCATGTTGATTTTTCTGCTGTTATCATGTCCAGAGACACCCAGCTGGTGGGCCTACTTAGGGTAACTTGGTCCTTTTTTTAATATAGTCTTTTAAAAAAGATTTTACATATATAATAAGAAGTATATTCAAAGAAAAATACATAGTAAATGTGAAAGAGAAAACAAAACAAAAAAGAGACAAAAAAAAAAAAAAGAACAGAAAACATGAAAAGAAATGTAAAGAAATGGCTTCCGATCTTCCTCTCGGCAATTATACATACAGTTCCAATCAAACCTCTCTCTCTAAGATGAATCATAATGCCCTTAGGGCATCCAGGTCCTATGGAGATGACAGGATGGTCTCGCTCAGTTATCTGGGGGGAGCTGGGGCCTGTTAGCCCCGAGGAAGAGCCCGGGGTCTCTGGGGGTGGGAGTTCTGCCTGCTGTCTTTGAGATCCATGGCCTCCCAGGAGGAACTGTGGCTGGATCTACGCAGGGGTGAATGCTTCTCTGAGGGAGGAACAGTCCCGCCCGCCCGGAAGAAGTGATGCTGAAGAAGCCATTGCTGGATCCAGCTAAACTGGGCAATTTTTGCCAGGCCTCCAACTTCCCCTTTGGGGGGAAAGTGGCGGAGAGGCTGGTAGGCTTGCACATCCAAAGGTCCCTGGAGGAAGCAGATCGTCTCGACTCTTTGCAGACAGGTTGGAGTGCCAAGATGGCATTGGCTGTGCTTCTGGCTGACCCCTGGCAGGCATGGGATGATGGAACAGTGCATCCAGCCTGGCTCTGCTGGGTCTCTCGGTGGCTTTCAGTGCCATTGAACGTGGTCTCCTTCTGGACTGGCTCATAAGATTGGGAGCGGGTGGCACCATTCTGCGATGGCTCTCTTCCTCCAAGGCCAGTGCCAGTCAGGGTTGGTAGGGGCTCCAGTTGGTGTTGGGAGTCCTAGGCCCCTGCAATGTGGGGTACCCCAGGATTCAGATCTTTCCCCTCTCCTGTTGGACATCTACATGAAACTGCTGGGGGACGCCATCTCTCAGCACAGGGTTAGTACCATCGGTAGGTACACTGATGACATTCAGCTGTACCTTCTGCCCCAGGCTGCCCGAGTGATGCCAGGGTGTGGGTTCTTTCCCAGTGTGTGGAGGCTGTGGGGGTCTGAATGGGGGAGAAGAGGCTCT